GGCGGGACCCTCCGCCGCTGGCTGAGCCCTCGGCGGTCTCCTCTTGCTCCCGGCAGGGCGACGGCGGGGAGCGTACGTGAGACTTCGGTGACCGGACACGCCGGAGGAGACCGGCTTGAGAAGAGCAGGGGTCTCACTTGTTTTCCCCCACTTCCGAGTCATCCCCATCGCCGGTGGGCCCGGTCACCCTCTCCTGTGGCCATGGAGAACTCCTCCCGCCCCGACACCAATTCCTCATGTGCAGACTGCACCGGGAGAGGGGATGGGGGTCTGAATATGTCCGCTCCCCTACTGAGCCCCAGCTTCTACGTCACGGTGCCTGTTATCTACTCAGTCATCTGTGCCGTGGGGCTGACAGGCAACACCGCCGTCATCTATGTAATCCTCAAAGCCCCGAAGATGAAAACGGTCACCAACATCTTCATCCTCAACCTGGCCATTGCTGACGAGCTCTTTACCTTGGTGCTACCCATCAACATTGCTGACTACCTGCTCCTGCAGTGGCCCTTTGGAGAGTTCATGTGCAAGCTCATCATCTCTATAGACCAGTACAACACCTTCTCCAGCATCTACTTCCTCACCGTCATGAGCATTGACCGCTACCTGGTTGTGGTGGCCACCACCAAGTCCAGGAAGATGTCCTACCGCACCTACCGTGCAGCCAAGATTGTGAGCCTCTGTGTCTGGTCCTTTGTCACTGTCATCATCCTGCCCTTCACTGTCTTTGCTAAGATACACAAGGAGCAGGGGCGCTCCCAGTGCGTCTTTGTGTTCCCCCACCCTGAGAGCATGTGGTGGAAAGGCAGTCGGATCTATACCCTTATTTTAGGCTTTGCCATCCCAGTGTCCACCATCTGCATCCTCTACACCACCATGCTGTGCAAATTGAGACGCGTGCACCTCCACTGCAATGCAAAAGCCCTGGACAAAGCCAAAAAAAAGGTGACGCTGATGGTGGTTGTCATCCTGGCTGCGTGCCTGTTCTGCTGGACGCCCTATCACCTTAGCACAGTGGTGGCCCTCACCACAGACATCCCACAAACTCCACTCATCATTGGGATTTCCTACTTCATCACTAGCTTGAGTTACGCCAACAGCTGCTTCAACCCTTTCCTGTATGCCTTTCTGGATGACAGTTTCCGGAGGAGCTTTCGCAAACTGATAGATTGCAGAACCACCTCCTAAAGCCAACCCTCTGTCCCCTCCTGTGCCCCTCTCACAGTCATCTGCTCTTCCTGGGGGACTCCAGCCCAAAGAATGCTTTCTCTCCAGCCTCCTTGTGATGGCCCACAAGGCTTCAGATTGTCTCACTATCCAAGACACAAACTGGGGACAGGGCGATCTTTCTCACCTTTCCTGCATTCATTTCCTCAGCACTGCTCTCTATCCCTTGCCTTGGTTTTTTTGCTTGTTTGTTTGTTAGTTTTTATTTCCTTCTCTCTAATGTGCTTTCTGTCCTAGGTTTGTAGCTCACAGAGCTGCAGCAGGTCCCTTTTCCCCTTTTAAAATTATCGCTTTGTGAACTCAAGCCACACAACTGTGTCTATTACTGGTGATTCGTAAAGCCCAATAAAGGTGTGTTATTGAGCATCTTGCTTAATGATTCCTGTTCTGGTTTTGGCTGGGACGGAGTTAATTTTCTTCATAGTAGCTACTATGGGCCGGTGTTTTGGATTTGTGCTGAAAACAGCGTTGATAACTCAGGGACGTTTTCGTTCCTGCTGAGCAGTGCTGACACAGCGTCAAGGCCTTTTCTGCTTCTCAGCCCACCCCACCAGCGAGGAGGCTGGGGGGGCACAAGGGGTTGGGAGGGGACACAGCTGGGACAGCTGACCCCAACTGACCCAAGGGGTATTCCAGACCATAGGACATCATGCTCAGCATGTAAAGGTGGGGGAAGGGGAAGGAATGGGGGACATGGGGAGTGATGGCACTTTTCTTCCCAAGTCACCGTTAGGCGTGATGGAGCCCTGCTTTCCTGGAGATGGCTGAACACCTGCCTGCCCATGGGAAGTGGTGAATGAATTCCTTGCTTTGCTTTGCTTGTGTGTGCAGCTTTTGCTTTACCTATTAAACTGTCTTTATCTCAGCCCACAAATTTTACTTTTTTTTACAATTCTCTCCCCCATGCCACTGAGGGGGGAGTGAGCGAGCAGCCGCGTGGTGTTTAGCCACCTGCTGACTTAAACCACAACAATTCCTCAACCTCTTTCATATCCACGGGACCTGCTTAGCCAAAGTCTTGCAAACTTAGCAATATTGAAGAAGGCACAGCTCCAAAGGATATGGAATAAACAAAGGCATTGAGCTCATTTTTTTTTACAGGGGACTGAGATAAGGCAGTAAAAATCCATGACAACAGGCAAGAGAGATCTCAGTCCAGCTTTAAGGAAGAAAGAGCCAGCCCTCACTAGTGAAGAAAATACACAGATGTGGATTTGGAGCCACTTGTTGTGGAAAATAACTTAACAGTGTACATGGTAGCTGTAGTTTGTAAAATTTGCAGCTTTTGTTGGCATCAGAAGTGTGTTTACTTTTTTATTTGTCATATATTTATGGGCAATCTCCTTCTTGCACATACAGATTTTTTTTTTTTTTTTTTGTCCTAGAAAACAGAATTGGGAGGTATTTTCAGAACGCATTAACCCTTAAGGGTTTGAAAAGGACTTGCTGAAACATGGGGAATATTCTGACTTCTTCCCTACAAATCATAAGTAACATATGCAGTGGTTAAGTTACTTTTAACAGTCTCTCACACAATTGTACTCTGCTTGCTCGTGAGATTTATTAATGTTTCTTTTAAGGAGGACAAAGGAAGTAAAAAAAAAATAAATACACAACCCCAAAAGATTAGGTTAATTTTATCTGGAGGAGGGGGGAGAGGGTCAAGGAAAGTTTCACTAGAATTCACATGTCCAAATACTGCATGAGGAAGTTTTTTCCTCCTCTCTCCTCTTTTAGCCCTCTAAGAAAAACTGAAAAAATGTGGAAGACTGGGAAATATTTGCAGTCACTTAACAGTTCTAATCTTGGTGGTCTTCCCTATTCTTCCCTGCAGCAGATGCTAAATTCGGGTAACACAAATTTTGTTACATATTTCTACCTCCTCTGAATTCAGAGAGATAAGGAAATGTGGCTAAGGAATAACATTTCCACTTACACAGGAAGGGATGATGGGTTTCAGGAGGTGCATAAGGATTTGTGTGACACATGCTCAGGTTTGCAGGTGCCTCCTGAGAGCCCTTGCACCAGGTCCCTTCCCACTGCTGCAGTCTAAAGGTCTGCCATAGGCATGCGGAAAATTTCTTCTGCTAAATCCTTCTAAAGAAACTCCAGATTTCAGCAATTATACAAACCCTGGTACATTAAAATACCATATAACTGGGTTGATGATTACATCATTTCTCCTTATAAGCCATTAATGTTCTCTGATACAGTCAGTGCTAATTTCAACATCCAGTCTAGCTGTCATGGAAATGAAAGGATTCCTTTGGGCGACAAAGGTGTCTAATCCTGCTTCATTAGAAGGTGTATGATTGACTTCCATCAGACACAGAAGCTGGCCTTTCAATGAGCAAGCCCAAAAAGTGTTGAGGACCCGTTTCCACACCACGTACAAAAGCATGCTGCAGGAACTGGTGTCCTGCACTTCATGTTTCTGCCTGAAACAAAATGTAATTAACTTTTCCCACCAGCTGCCTGCTGTTTCAGCTGGGCCTGTAAATTGCAATGATGCTTCTCTGTGGTCACTTGTTGTGGAGAAAGATGTTGCTCTGTATGGGCCAAGTAGCAAAGTCTGTCTTCTTTTAGACTGCTAATCTATATACGCACACCACCTCCTTTGTGTCCTTAGGCCATCATGTCCACAACGTTACTTGTGTAAAGACTGCATACAGTTTTAAAAGTAAACAGTATTATTCTCAGAAAAGACATATTCAAGATCACTGTGCCCTCGTTGGTTGCTGTCCCTGAAGACTGAAGAGTGCCAGTGAAATATGGTTCTCTGTCAAACAGTCACCTTAAAGAGTGGTACAGATTTGAGCATTGGGCTCCTGATAGCGACCACCTGAACATTTTGATCAAGCTGCTATGCAGTCACATTTGTCTCGTCACCTGTTGGGGCTTCTATTTACCCCAGAAATGTTATTGACACTTAAGTGGCTTTACTGTGCCTGTACCTATAAATCAAATGCACTTCTGAGGTGCTCAACTGATATTAACACTAGGTTATAAGAACAGTCTGATTTGTATTTCACTTTTATCTAGTTTTGAATACTAAAATTTTAACTGTTCCTGAACAACATAATCTGGTTCAAGATTTAAACAAAGAAAAAACTTTCTAATCTAGATCAATGTAAAGATATTTCTTTAAAATCTTCCTGTTTCTTAGGAAATAGGAAAGCATTTTAAAGTATGCCTTTCCTCATACTCAGTATCTCATCCCTTTGTCTTCCCTATATTCAATTCCTGTTGTCCGTAGGGGAAAATACGACAAATGCTATCCATTAACGAATTTCACTTCGAAGTGTCCTGTGATGCTTGTCTTTTTCATATCAGAAACATAAAAATGCAAACAGAACATCACCTGTGATAAACACAATCCTTCTCTAAGTTCCTTCTTATTCTGAAGTCATATCTTGCCTATTCTTCATAGTAGGAGGAATATCTGAGAAGAATTCAGTGTTTCCCAAAACACCTGGAGTTTTCCCATGGTTGTTAGTCACAGAATAGACTGAGACTTGAGCAACAGCCCAGTTCTGGTGCAGGTGCCCAGCTCAAATTCATGCACTGGGCAGGACTCCCCTTGCGCGGCTGTGCTGTCTGCCGGGTCCCTGACATGTCCAGGAGGTGGGACTGGAGCCTGTCCTGCTGCAGGCCTTGCAGATGGGCATCTACATGGAGGACGAAGTTGAGCCTGGACAGCCTGCGAAGGGTGCTGAATGGTAAGTAAGGCCTCCTTTGATCTTGCAGAGCTTCAGCATTGAAACAGGTAATACATACTTCTCCTTTCATCGTATGCCCTTTTTGTTTGGGAAACAGAACATTCTGGGGGAGTCCAAATGTGACCAAAACCAGCATTCAGCAGGAGAAGGACAGGTTCGTTCTTCAACACTGCTGGTCAGCAAGGATGACCTGGTGCTGTATAGAAGCTAAAGCTTTGGCTCCCAGAGAAGCAATAGAGGATAATATCTCAACAGATTTGCTCCCCTTAAATATTTCTACTTCTTTTCCAGAGGAGGGATTTATGCTCCTGTTCAACCCATGCTTAACTAGCTATAATGAAATCTATGTGTCACATCCTGAGAGAGTATAGTTGCTGTAAGGATTTTATGTATATGAAAATGAGTAAACTAAAAATAAATCCATTTTCCCCATAGCACAACTGTAATCTGCACCTGATATTGCAGATGTTAGAGGCTTCCAGTAGGAAAGCAGAGAAAATAGAAAAACATATTATATAATTAAATATAGTTGAATTAAAAAAATTTCAAAGGTGGACTTTTTTCATGGTATTGAAGTGGGAGCGAGAGATGTTACCATCAGGCCATCGCTATCCTGCCTGATGGAAATTGTTTTGGATGTACAGTTAATCCTTTTCATCAGCAAAAGCAAAGTAACCAGTCCCATTTCGTTAGTAACTTTTACTCTCAATTGTACCTGCATTTCCAGGTGGAAGCAAATCCAGGATGACCTGCAGATCCAGACAGCACCCTCAGCGTGGGTATGAGCATCCCAAGAAGAAAATATAGCCAATACTTCTGCAAAGAAAACTATGCAGCAAGTAACAAGGCAGACAACACCAGACCGGCTGCAGCCTACTACTTTATCTAATGGCTACTACTTTATAGGCTCCCTGGTAGGCCAGGCAGGCCAGGAATGGAAGACTAAACCTTCTCCAGATTGAGACATCCTGACCACAAGTAACTGACCCCTGTGCTGAGGCTCCCAGCCATGCACACAGCTGCCCAAGCCATTTTCCCCGCTGCAGTGCATACAGGCAACCACATCCGCAGCTCGCAGGCTTAGTTTGCCTCCCGGTGCTGCAGAGCAGATCATCCTGCTCTGGTCCACTTTGTCGTGCAGTTGGGGCACAGCTGCAGGTATCCGTGCATAAGTAGAGCCAGTCCCACAGAGGCATCCTCTGGCTACCTGTGCCTCCTCCTCACCCTCTGTTTGTATCACCC